GCTTACTTTTAAATGGTTCAACAATCAAAGCAAAAAGTCTTTTTCTAAAATACATGCAAATATTTTTTTTTACAAAACAGCGAATTTTCATTCATCCATTGAGGTGAAAAATGAAAATGTTATCATCGATGCAGTGAGTTCAAATCCAGGTTCAGTGTTTTCACTCTGGAACTGTTGGATCCTATCTGTGATGAGCTGAATACATCAAAAAATACTGGTGAAAAAAAAAAAAAAAGGAGGTTTTATACTGTTGCTGAAGAGTTCTACGTGCATTCCTGTCACTTGTACAGGAAAATTGTTTTAGCAAAGTTTGTCTGCAATGCAATATAAAATAATCTTAGTACTTTATGAAATTACCCTCTACAGTGTCTTTTCTTAGCCTAGTGTAAGTGCAATACTTGAATGCTTTCTTCTGCCTGTGTAACTGCTTCATACTCAAATCTTTGTTTGTTCATAAAAGAACTGTTCATGTTTTGTGTCTCTGCAGGCAATACCAAAGACCTGAAAATGTTTCATACACTTTGTATATAGTAGTTCCAGCAATTTACCACTTTATAAGAATATATATAGTGATGTGTTTCATAAAACAGTGCAAAAAGTAACATGAACATAATGCTATCTACTAAATCCATCAAAATACTGCGGAATAACATAATTTTTCTGCCTGCATGAAGATAACCACTGGATGGCAAGATTTTTCCCAACCCCTTTTACATTCCTCATGTTGATAAAGGCTATTGAAAATTAATATTTCAATATTCATTGAATATTTCAGTGAAATTAATATTTCAACAAGTGAGAAGTATCTAACTTACATTTGGAAATTCCAACATGGAATTTGGAATTCCTGATGTCTGAGGTCTCAGCGCTTCTCCCTCACAGCTGATTTCTCCTCCAGTTTTCCTTCATAGTAGGAGCCACTCTAGTCCATGTTCTCTTTAGAAAAGCTAAAGGTTCCTACCCCATGTAGTGGGACAACCTACCATGATCCAAAGGTTTGCAAGGGCTGCAGACCACCCCAATTTCTCTCCCTGTCTTGCCCCAAGGAATCAGGCTGCTCCTCTTCCATACGTTCCCTCTGGAAGGCCAATTTGGGCTTCTACACATCGGTTCAGGGGAATAAATGCAGATGAATTCTTTTGTTGCAGTATTCCCCCCGGAGACCCAAAGCATAAGACAAAGAAGTTATAATGCTAGACCTGAGTGGTTATTCTTTGCTTATTGTCACAGGGCTTCTGAAGGAGAACCATGTGTTCCTCAAAGGAAAAAACATGGGAGTCTTTTGCACTGAAAAGTGTTAAGTGAGCTAAATATATATCAGTTCCTCTATACTTAAGCATTTTTGAAGGAAAAAAGGCATAAGTAGAGCATGTATCACGTTTTCTACTCATTAACATGCATTTTGCTATATACTTTGCACACAGAGCCACAGTGCGTAATTGATTTGTTATCAGCTGTAGCAGAATCAAGTAAAAATCTCATGTTAACAGGGTTAAAAACACAAAAAATAAATGTTGGGGGTCATCTTAAAAGTGCAGCTGTGAACCACCTGTTTGTCACAGTAATGCGTGTGATAAGCTAAACACCTCTGCCGTTTAAATGGAAGAAAGGTATAGAAAGGTGGCTGCTGATAGCGGGGGGGCTGGAAGAGGATTTTTAAAAATTATTCCTACATATTTATTGTAGCAATTCAAAATCAGTTAGCTGAGATGAACAATGGATATGAAAATATTTATCAGGACCTTATGATTAAAAGAATGGAAAACATCTTTACTTCGTGCAAATTTTTAACACATTCTTCAATTTTGAGGAACAACGGCCCCTCTCAGCTGTTTGATGTTGCCGTAAGATATACTGAACCGAGTTTGATGAGCAGATGATAGGGTCTACATGTTGTGCAAGCTACAGATATACCCCGCTGGCTGCTGTGAATGCCTTTTATGGCCATATGAAACTATGAATTAGAGCAGTTTTACACAGTAAAACAACTTAACTGGTTACTGTGGCCATAAGCTTTTTGGTATACACATCGGTTGCTGGCTGCAAAGGCAATCCTGCACTCAGCACTTGTCCTACACGTGCAGAGCCTGCTGCTCGCCTACCGCTGCACAGCATTGAAGCCATTAGGCTGAGCAAGAAGCTGCCCCAGCAAACCAGTAAGCTGTTGGGACCAGTCTTAGGGCTGAGCCCAAATACTTGGGTACTCGATGGCTGGCTGCACATGGAGGCATCCTCTCTGAGCACTCCAGCAAGAACCCTCTTTCAAAGGCATTGCATTAACACTTTATGCAGAAAATAGCTGAATGGTGTGGTACTGCCTTTCTGTGCCTCTGAAGATGATGACCCACTAGCTAGTACACCCAGCTGCAATATAAAAACTTACTAATAAATCTCTCAATTTAGAGCTGAGCTTGGAAAAACCTCCAAGGGTAGTGCATCCCTCAAACTCCCACAGTCACAAGGGTCTAGGGTATTTAGGTCAAGTGCTCAAGTTTTCCTCTTTGAGTTGTTCTGTTATATGCAAAAGCTTAAAATAGCTATTACAGATGAGTTTTGATTAGGTTTGCATAAACCCTCTGCCTCATGATTTGGATGTAAAAAGTCAAATCAGCCATGCTTATCCTCTGCAGGAGTGATCCAACTGCCAGATATTAATGAGAGAGAGACAGTTAATGTCTTCCTCTCCTTCCATATCAATTAATAAATACTAAGATGATCAGCTAGGAACTCTTCTAGCCTATTAGCAGGGGAAAACCAGCAATTCTGTACTGAGTTTATTAACAGAATTTTATTTAATCAGACATTCTGGATTCAAGCCTTACGAGGAGCGGCTGAGGGAGCTGGGGGTGTTTAGTCTGGAGACGAGCAGGCTGAGGGGAGACCTTATCGCCCTCTACAACTACCTGAAAGGAGGTTGTAGCGAGGTGCGGGTTGGTCTCTTCTCCCCAGTAACTAGCAATAGGACAAGAGGAAACGGTCTCAAGTTGCACCAGGGGAGGTTCAGGCTGGACATTAGAAAGAACTTCTTCACTGTCAGAGTCGTTAGGCATTGGAACGGGCTCCCCAGGGAGGTGGTGGAGTCATCGTCCCTGGAGGTGTTCAAAAAACGTTTAGATGTGGTACTTCAAGACATGGTTTAGTAGGCATGGTGGCATCAGGTGTACGGTTGGACTTGATGATCTTTGAGGTCTCTTCCAACCATAATGATTCTATGATTCTGTGATTCTATGATACACATTGCACCCCTGTGAGGTTTACTATTAAAGTTTTCCTATTTAAGGACGGGGCAGAGTATAGGAGCTTTTATTATTGATGTCATGTGTCAAAAGCCTGACCTTACTGCAAATCCCTAGGAAATTACTTTCCATTGACATGTGGTTTGAAGAGCAGCTAATAAGCTAGGTGAAGTTTACATACTATCAGTCCAAATCCCTGTTCCCCTAAGTCTGAAATCCTGTTTGCTTTGGGGGAACCTCTTAATAACATAGTAGGAACAGGTTTCCACTTAATAAACATTCTCATTAGCACCACCTTGTAAATGCTCTCAACTTGCTCAAACGGAGTTAAGCAAGCATTTTACAAAGGGGTAGATTATCTACTCTCAATAATTTTCTATGGAAATACTGCAGATCTTGTCTCTGACAGCAACAAAATTTTTTAAGTTTCTTCACCACAGCTGCAATGTAAATTCCTTTTTTTTAAGAATGTTCTTGTCATGGTGTACCATTTCCAACCTTTACACAAAGTTAATTCAATTATCTTTATATTGCCATCTGACCTGACATTTCTTCACTTAGAAAAAAGCTGCATGCTTTTTGCAGGGATCTGGAGTTAAAGAAACTCTTCATCTTGCTCAGCACTTTTTCTTCACCAAGAAAGTAATCTAAAACTGAGCAGAATTATGTTTGTGTGTTTGCCTGCTTCTTATGAGGAAGAAAAAGAATATTATTCTGGAGCACGTTCTTAATTAAGAAGTAAAGAGTGTGCTCTGGAATTAAAAGATCCTCACATGAATAAATTCCTTTGTCTTTCAGCTAACTTGCCTCTTACAGGGCAATCAGATTGAAAAGTTATGAATTTATTTGGAAATTATTATTCCTTCAAATAAGCACCATTCCTCTGCAATCCATTTCTACCTCATACTTGTTTAATTGTCAAATCAGTGATGATAAATAACCCCAGGTATCATGAATGAAAGGCTTACAATGAATTTATATTGCCTTGATCAAGGAAATTAATGTTAGTATTATTGCTGCTTATGGATTAGTAGGTGAGACTTCCTTTTTGAGCTTTACTTACTGGCATATGTTTTCATTACCTTGAGACAGAGGCACATTTTTCTTAGCAGTGCTATCAGTTCAGTGCCGTTATACGGTGAGGACATACCCTTTGATGCCTAAAGAGAAACAGAGATGCAGAACTGCGGCGCATGGTTTTGACACTGCTAATGAAGACTTACGACAGACATGGTTTTGATCTACCACAGGCTCAAACTCTGCTTCTGAGAAACCGTGCAATATCTCAACTTTCTTAAAAAAATAAAAAAAAATTAAAAAAAAAAAAAAAAAAAAAATTGTGCTTGTACTTAATCAGAAACAAGGTCACTGCCTTGTCAGACAGTAAAACTGCATGCGTTGCCCCCAACCACCCTCACCCAAATGCTATCAAAGGTCAGATCTTGCTATGCCATGCTTCTGAGAGGAAAACTTGTAAGGGTTTTAAGCTAATGCTGGGAGTGTAATGTAGAAGTGCACTGCTTTGGACATTTAATTGATTTCCCTTCTCTGGCAGTAAGCTACAGCTGTATGAGTTCTGCTTTACCTGAAATCTACAGGGTTCCTCAGATGTTTCACTGGATTGTCATTGTCACCATGTTGGTAAATGCATCTGGCACCATAAAGTTAGATGCAGAACAGAGACCCACCTCCGAATCCCAGGGTGTCTTCCATCATCCCTCTCCCTTGATCTTTTTCTTTCTGTTTTTCTACCTCTGTGGATGAAAATGCATTGCAATAGTTCAGTTACCACTGAAAACAAGTGCAGGTGGGGATGTCATGCCATGCTAAGTTAGCAGAAATAAATATAGCACTACTTTCTTTGTTCAAATTTTTCTGTTTTCTCTGCCTGGCTTTTCTTTTTTTACTCCCAATATTTACCAACTCACCATACAAAAAAGTAAGATATTTTTAACAGCACAACGTCCAAATTGCACAGTCCCAAATCAACCACTGTTTGATATGATTGTGCAGTGGAACGTCTCCATTTCTCCTCAAAAGCCAGCGTTAGGTTATCACATCATCTTAATCATGTCACTAATGACCCTTTTTCCTTCTTTCTCTTCCTAGGTCGTTTTTACTACCTGATTCACCCAACCAAGCTGACCTATGACGAAGCCGTTCAGGCATGCTTGAAGGATGGAGCTCAGATCGCTAAAGTTGGCCAGATATTTGCTGCCTGGAAGCTCCTGGGGTACGACCGCTGCGATGCTGGCTGGCTGGCTGACGGCAGCGTACGCTACCCAATCTCCAGGCCAAGGAAACGCTGCAGTCCTAACGAAGCAGCAGTTCGCTTTGTAGGCTTCCCTGATAAAAAGCACAAGCTGTATGGTGTCTACTGTTTCAGAGCATATAACTGAAAATACCTAGAGCACAAAAGTTTTAAATTCATTAAGAACATGTGAAAGATTTCTTTTCGATATGAACTCATGCAAGTTACCAAAACTGTGATAAACCTTTTTTACTTACTGTAAAGAGTCGTTTTCATAAACCCAACCCATTAATTTTTTTTTGTTTTAGTATTTTTGTAAAAGTATCATTCCATAGATATTTTAAATTAATATAATTTAATGGAAGCTCTAGGTAAGGAAGTTTTAGAGCCAAATTCTTTAAGCTACATCATCCCAACAAAATATACTTTTTGTGAATGGGGCATGCAGTAGAGCTTGACAGTTGCTAGGGCACAATTATGGAATGTAAGGCTACTCAAAGCAGAAGCTTTTAAAAGCACAGATTTTACGTATTTGTACCAGTTTGAGAAACACTGCAAATTGATTATATCAGGAATTTTGAAAATAGATAATTTTTTTCTTAAAGGGGATCAGTGAGGTTTTGTTAAAAAACCTCACAACAATGTAGGTTAGAAAATACCTGTTTTCACTGATTTCACATGCAAACAACACAGAGTTTAATAAAAGCAGCTAAAACAGTCCACAAAAATAGGACTAGTTTTACAATTTAAAATCCTGCCTTTCTGAAAAATAAGCTCATGGTCCCATGCATAGGAACAAGCACAATTAGTTCTCCAAGATTTCAATTGTGTTTTTGTTGTGTATAAATCATTGATGAGGGAGTGAATTATTAACTAATAAGAAAACCTTGTTTTCTTCTTGACTCCAGTTAAAGATGCCTGAGAAGTGTTGTATTACCTTTGAGTAGCTTTACTGAGTTATTTTTAAACTCTTAAAGGCCGTTTGCTAAGCAGCATATAGCATCTACTCAGGGCAGTTGTATAAATGAACTGCTGGACAGAGAAATTGTTAACTTTAGCAGCTTGATTTTACGTTAGCCTTTGAAATGTTATTGTCTTAACAAAAGAACATTACGATATTTAATATTTCTTACCTATTTACACATTACAAGAAATAAAAATCAGAAAAAAAAATTATGAAGTCTTACAACAAGATTATTAAATAAAATTTGAAACCAGCTATTAAGCTTTAGAAAAGAAAAAAAACCCTTTATTTCTTTACTTCCTATTTGTATCTAAAAAGTACATCTGTTTTTTAAAGTATCAATGAAAAAATAGTATTGCTAGCCCTGAATTATTTAGTTAATCCTCCTTAGAGTTAACGGAAAAAAAAAACCTGAAATACTTCTTTTCACTAAATCTGCAGTAGTCTAGATGGAAAATGTTTACCTATATCTGCCAGTGTCAGACATAAACACGCACTGTGCATGGTGCCTAGGGTTTTCAGAGCTGCCTAAAGCACTAGGTCCTCCCCAAATACCAATTTGAGGGAATTTTGATTTCTGATGCAAACTTATTTTGGATGCAGCAATTCTTGGTGCTCATCTTCAGATACCTTAATGCAACTAGTTTTTCAGAGAGTGGGTGCTCAAGGCTTTCTGAAAATTTACTCCACTTATGGTGTCTCAAGCTGGATATCCAAAAAAAAGAAAAAAAAGGCCACTGATTAAAAATACCTTGGTCTTGAGTAATCTCTTAGGTAGTTTTGACAGTCTCTATCCAGTATTGGTTCTACCACTTAAAAATGGAGAACTCTTTTTTCCTACTCTATGCTTGCTGACTATGAAGAGTTCAGAGGACCAATATTTATATTACGCAAAGTTTTATAGCTTCCCATTGTTTCCATATCTAAATGAGATGTAGGGGTATTTATCCAAGTAGGACACAACAGATATGCATTCATGAACGGTTTGTTGTAGTTATTTTCCCATGGATATGAGTAAATAAATCTCTTTCCCAGAGTGGTTGTGGTCCTGTTTTTAAACTCTGTGAACAAACCAGGAACAATATATAGTAGGATTGTAGTGGAAAGATACTATAGTGTAAGAGGTATTTTATTGGAGTTCGTTCCCATCAAGCTCGGAGGCAAATTTCCATCCTTCTGAGGATATTTGCATTCACAGGATATTTGCATCCACTGTGGATATCTGCTCATACTATACAGGTGAAGCAAAGTGAGTTTCAAGAAAATCCAGTTCCTAGTGGATTAAAAAAAGGAGGGAGTTTTGGCACTGAGATTGCTTCACTTAGCTATAAATAGAGTCTTACTACAGGTCAAGCCTCTAAACACATGTAATCTTTTCTGAGCAGTCATTTTTTAAAGAGATGTCCATTTCACACATTTTCTCAGGCCATTCAGAAGCTTTTCTGAACTATTTGGAGAAAAAAATGGAAATGAAAAGAGCAATGGAAAATATCTGTACAGGATAAGGAATAGAGTATGCAAGACTGGACCATGACCAAGAGGAATATACGTCATTCCCTCATCCAATCTTCAGAAATATGGAAAAAAGATGCAGACTATTTCATAGTCTTTTCTGAAGCGTGGACAGGGAGATTGTGGGATGGGAAAAACAATAGGGAATATCCTAGTTGTTACCCCAGCTAGATCCAGAGTTGCTGTTAAGAGGGAAGCCTTTTATGCAGCTGGCTCTATCCTCCCGAAAGATCTGCTAGATCTGGAGGAGGTTGCATGCTTTTCCTATTGCACAGAGGTGAAGAGACCCTCAGAATTTTATTTTTTTTTTTTTTTTTTACCTCTCCAGGGAAACCCTTCACAGGGTTTCACTCAGACACATCTTTTTTGCAGGACTGGGGATTATATTTTGCCTGCATAAAAAATGTACATATCCAACCCACTCGTGGGGCTGGCTAAAGTGCCCTCACTGCTAGACCAAAGGCACTGCGGGAAAGGCGAATTCAGCCTTTCACCAACTTTGCAACGCTCTGGAGATGGCTGGTCAGGTCCTAAATCACAGCAATCTCAGGCTTGCGCTAGCTTATGCCTTCTGTGTCCATATCTCTGGGCTGCCGCTGTGACAGCCCGGGTGTAGCATCTCCCCTCAACCCACCCCTGCTTTGTGCATCACCCATACCCCGGGCCGGTGGCTGAGCAGGCTCTGCACCACCCCGGTGATCCCTCAGCTCCGGGGAAAGCTCCTGAGCTCCCAGCTTGGCAGCACGAAGAGGCCACTTACAACAAGGAACTAGATCTTGAAACAGATGCTGAGCTGGCATACGATCACAGATGGCCAAATTCATCGTTCAGTTATGCCTGTAAGTTCGCATTGAAGATATTGCTTGCTAGGAACTGTATGTTCATGTAACGGAGTCACAGTATGTGAATTTGCATTCGTCGTGTTGCTTATGAACAGCCCAGTAGTCTAATCTGGGATCAGGCTAGATTTAGATCTGTGTATTGATATACAACATTATGTATTATTATAACAGATACAGTTAATTGGATAGTTTGATGAAAATACGTTTGTATGAAAAAAATAATTAGTTCTAATATAAGCAGGTATAAAAATAATAAAAAGTGTATGATTACCTGAGAAGTGGGCATAAATACACAAAAAGACACGAATTATATTTATTTTTAGAGCTACTGACTCCATTTCCTTTTATAATGTCAAATGTCAGGATGATTTCTTATTTTCAACTAAGCTAGCTAGGTGCTTGGATAAAAACTTTAAGCAGCAGCTTAAGAACTGGATAAAAGTCTGTGCTGTTTTCTGTTCGTGAGAGAATATTCTATCATTAGAATCAATTCATGTTCTCTGTCATTATCTTGTATTTCACAGTGTATCTGAATTTTAATGCCCATGAATTGACAAAAATTAAATCATGTTGTTCTTTTCAATATGATGATTTCTTCTTATTGACTGGCCATTCTTCTACTTGTGTCTCAGAAAACACAAAAAGGAAAGGAATAGATCAAAGTAGGAAAACACTTACTTCGCCATAGTAAACAAAGTGATTAAAAGACTAAGGGGTAAACAAAAAAAAGACTACTCTGTGAATATGATTTACAATGAAAATAAAGAAAAATGTATACCAAAGCCAAACAAAGGTTTCTTTGAAGCATTTTGAAAGTAGAAATGCAAGTACCAATTTCTTTTTTGTGTTCGCTGCCATCTTCTAAAATAAAGCATAAATAAGAAAGGCTTTTTTTTTTTTTTATGTCATTACACTGCATATGCATCACTAGAAATTGGATGTAGAACAGTGTTTCTTGTATGGGAAAATTTATGAAGTTATTTATATAATCTTGTGGTCTTAGAAATTAAAAACCTAACAAAATTCACTCTTCATAATATGCAACAAGAAAGATTTCCAGCAAAGAATTAGTCATTCAAAGCACTGATCCAACTTTTCATCTGTAATCACACTATTTCTGCATTCTTTTATTGATCTGTGCTGGAGAGTTAACCCTGAAAGTTACCTAAGCTGCACCACTTCTCTGAGAAATACTAATCTTCCAGAAGCTTTCAGTATATCAGTCATATTTTAAAATAGAAGAAAAAGAACTTAGAAAAACTTCTCTCTCAGAATAAGGGAAATCTGTATTACCATTAATGTGTGATTAAGATAAATACACTTTCTTTTCTAACAATTTAGTTTAAACAATTTTAAAACGAGTAGCGCTTTCACTTTACAACATCAAGCATAAAATTAAAACTGCCTTTTGTAGAAACAGTCCCTCAGTAATTAAGATTTTCCTTGATAGTAGCAGCTTCCATTGAATGACATCTCACTGTTCAAAATAGAAACACTGTCTTCACATTTGGAAGTACTGGATTTAAGATTAGATGGAACTACCAAAAAACCAGAAACGTCTAGATTTTTACCTAAAGACATAGTACACAATGTAGTAGGTTGCTATTTTATTTAGCCATTCTCTCATTTACTCACAAAGGGTACCAGTAGCTTTCTGTTCAACACCAGCAACAGCTGGTTGTTCTTCCTGAAAGTTTTGAGATGCTGAATCTTACACCTTTTTAGCCATTTTGTCCCTTATTCAAAAGCAATTAGACAAGTTGAACAAATACGCTGCACAGCAATAAAATTCCAATGCCGGGTAATTTGCTATATAAAAAGAGACAAGATTTCTCTGGGTTTCAAGTCAAAAATAGGAAACTAACAATTAGTCTTAATTTTAAGAGAAGGGCAAGGTGAACTGATGAAAAATAATTCTTAATGAAAAATAATTAATAATTACTAATGAAAAATAATTACTCCTCTGTCCATGTCATGAATAGGGATGGTCCCTTTATAACAGAGGAGACCTGAAAGATTCTTTAAGAAGAAAAAGGAAAGACAACAGAAAGCAATGCTTCAGCTCCTTGTCTTTCACACTGAGTTTGCCTTTGTTATATCTTGCCCAATAATTATTAAGCCACAAGTTTAAATATATAATTAAAAAAAAACCCAACAGACTAATAATAAACCAAGAGTTTGGAAGGGATTTCTCCTTTTTCTTTGTCAAGCCTCAAACTGGAACGAGGAAATTCTCATCGGACACCCTTTGAGTCTAATATTTTCCCCTTTTCATGTGAGAATGTCTCAATTCATAAAGCCACAA